GATCTTATAGATGCTGATACATTTTTACGTAGAGCTTCAATCAGTTCTAGAGTAGAAAGATGTGAAAATGAAGTTATAGATACTGTGGATTATCTAACTTTAAATGAAAATCAAAAAAAAAAATTTAAACAAATAGAACAACATTATGAAAGTATAATTTTTGGTTGTCAAGTTGAACCATTAAGAATTATTATTATAGGAACAGCAGGAACTGGTAAATCATATCTTATTAAAGCAATTAGAGGTAGACTTTGTGAAATGGCAAGAATTAAATCTGAACCACCAATACTTGTACTTGCACCAACAGGTGTTGCTGCTTATAATATTCAAGGAACAACAATTTACTCAACACTTTGTATTCCGATACAAAGTAATAATTTTGATATGAATGGTGAGCAGTTAAAGCGACTACAAAACAAGTTACAAAATGTAAAATATTTAATTTTTGATGAAAAAAGTATGATTGGTCGTCGAATGCTTAATTTGATTAATATACGGTTGCAACAAGCTTTTTCTGAACATAAAGATGAACCATTTGGTGGTCGATCTCTTATTCTTTTTGGTAATTTTGGTTAGCTTCCACCTGTACTTGACCTTCCTATGTATGCAACTAATATTTCACGAGACCTATTATTTAATAATGGTATTGTAGTATATAGTCAGTTTCATGAAATATATAAACTTAATATTATTCAACAGCAATCTGCAGATTTTAGAGAACAACAAGACTTCAGAAACATTCTTTTACGATTGTGTAATGAAGAATTTACAATAAAAGATTAGAGAATGCTTACTACACGCATTGAAGAAAAACAAAATAGAACTGAACGTAATCAATTTTCAGAAGCAATGTTTATATTACCAAAATGGTCTGATATTGATGCAATTAATATAGATAAGCTTGGATCTTTAAACTGTCCTATTGCCAAAATTCTTGCTGTATATACTGGTGATCAAGAAGCAAAAAAAGCTGATTTTGATGTTGCAAAAGGTCTTGAATCACAACTTTTGCTAGCTACAGGTGCACAGGTTATGTTAATAGTAAATCTATGGACAGAAGCTAGATTAGTAAATGGATCAATAGGAACTGTTCATAATATTTTGTATAATGAAAATGGAGCGCCTAGTCTTCCTGTAGCAGTCTTTATCACATTTGAAAATTACAAAGGTCCTACAATTACAACTTTAGACAATGTAAATGTTGTTCTGATTATATCTGTTCAATGTACTTGGGAAAGTAAAGCTGGAATTTTATGCTCACGAATGCAGATCTCTGTTTGCCTTGCCTGGGCAATTACAGTACACAAGAGTCAAGGACTTACTCTTCCGAAAGC